TACATGGTTGAATTCCAAGTTACGGAGTCGACAAGACATTTTGACTCTCAATGACACTATTATGATCCGTGGCTGGCATAGGTGGAATCCCCAGGTATCAGCCACCTTTTACACAGGACTGCGAACTTCGCTGACCACTATGCGAGTATAGGTGGCAGCGCCTAAGACTCTGCCAATGGTCAAGTGGCGAGAGATGTCTTCAACCATATTTGGTGATTCAGCTACCGGCCTTATGGAATCCAGCGATGTACAACCTTCCCTTATGGGCACGGGCCCTCTGGAGCTGGACGAAGAACCTGACAGTGAGTATGAAGCGGAACCTCCAAGTACTAGTCGGATCGCACGGGACAAGTTCACTCTACCCAAGATTGGCGCAGTTGAGCTTGAGGCATATATCGACCTCACATCCGAATTTCTGCAAGATGTCCTCTCGGACGTGGCTGTGAACCCCAGACCAGTGGCATCAATAAATGCTGGCAAAGCAGCACACTGAGCTGATATTAGTACATCTGAGGAGGTGGTCTCTTGGGATACTTGGTAGCTTTTCTGTAATTAGCATTTAAATTAGACCAAATTAGCATGCTAATTAGCGCTAATTAACGCGGACCGCGCCGGGGCTCCGCCCCGGACCTCGTTGCTAATTAACGGTAAATTACACCTGCAAATCTGGCCTCCGGCCAGCGACCTGCAAATTAGGGGAGGTTACGCATATGGTTGCTCGATATCAATATCGAGTGGCTGTGCCATTTCGTGGGACGAACCTACCAAACTCAACGAGTTATCGAGTGGCTGTGCCAGAGGCGCCACAACGGCTGCTGTGGCTCTCCCCGAGAACTCGATTTGTGCCTGCCATGACAGGTGTCGGACGAGCTCCCGTACGCGAGTACAATAGGTAAAATACCTGTGTATACTGTATACTTGAGACCATATATATGAATGTAGATGCGGCTTGATATCCATTACCCCAAATCATACCAACAGACCTTGATGTCCATGCAGAGTTTTTATGGAGCAGTGAATGCTGAGTGTTCAGCACTCAGCAGCAGTTAGACAGTTCACAGCAGTAGATTTACAGAATTATTTTTAATGAAATATCCTCTGCACAGTTGGCCTGACTGGGTGTCACCACATTTACAGATATCCGCAGTAATTCAGACCTTGTAAGGCGGTGTGGAGGGGGGAAAGCGTGCAAACTACAGATTCAATGCTAAACCTCTTTTTTGGAATTGTGGGGGAGTGGTGTTTGCTTTGAATGTTCGATATAAGAAGTCACTTGCCCCGGAGCACCCTAAATTGAGGAATTACAGTATTTTGGGCTTGAATTGCCTTCAGAAAATATGCATGGACTAGCTGTAGACTTTCTCATGGTTTCAGCTGCCATTTTATATGAGATATATCTCAGAGAACGATGGACGGGTTGAGTATTAGTATGGCCCCGGAGGGGCCGGACAAATTCGATTTTAGTAGTATTTACACTCGGACTTTACGGTAAAACATGCAATCAGTCACTCACTAGCTGCTTTGTCCCTACTTCGGGGCTCTGAGGGCGATTTGTGGAGCATAGGCCCGAGAGTAACGCAGATTTCGGTCCCAAGGGCCTCAAAGCCACAACTGCCACATGGCTCTCTGAGCCAATCCCAATTTTTCTTTTTTCTTTTTCTTTTTATTTTATTTTATTGCAACTCTATCATTATCGAGCCCAAATTAGCAATGCTAATTAGGAGCCGTCCCAAATTTACGGAACCCTACTCCTTACAGACATGCCCAAACAGACCAGCTCGCGAAGCGTTCCTGACCTCTGGAAAGTCTCGGAGTCTGAGGAAGAGGACTTTGGAGACGATACTGGAGAGTGGCCGGTCGATGGCGTAGTCGGCGAGGAGATTGACATGCTCGGAGTATCTAGGTATACTCGGGTTCAGCTCGTAGATGGCCAGGATATCTGACACAAGCACAGATATGAAGTATGCGGCACATGTGCGCTCTTTTATACAGAAACAAATTATTTCTTGCATACAGATCCGGTGGAGGAATTGGCGCCGTAAAGATGGCACAAACACTACATGGGCGAAACAAATGCCTGATCGTCCAGACCTCATCGAAGACTGGAACACGACTCAGGCGAAGAAACGGCAGAAGCAAGCGGACGAAAGCCTAGACGTGGCCCTAGAACCCCTGAACATACTAGATATTCATAACATCAAGACCGCCAAGCGCTCGCAAGCTGTCGAAGAGAAGGTAGAGAATAGCTATAGTCGCGGGATCGCGAGATACGACAATTGGGATGCTGTGGAATCTGTTCCTAGCTGTCCGGGCCCTTCGTCTTCTCGCCGGTCGTCAACAATGAAGAGCGAAGATATTTACAAGAATCCTTCTCGAGCATCTACGGCCCACTCAAATACTCACAGCTCGACCTCTGCTAAGGACGCACAGCCAATATACTCACTTAAAGAGAAGTGGAATAATTCCGCACGAAAGATCGGCGCTGCTCGAATAACCATCACCAACGAAATAGACGAAGAAGCAGAGCCTCAGCTCGTGGAAGGCTTCAAATACCTGGAAAACAGGTACTCGTAGTGAGTACCGCGACATCTGCAAACACATCTTCTGAACTGCTGTCCCCGCAGTCCGAAGGATATTCGTGCGCTGATGGAGGAATCGGAACCCTATTTCGTCTTCTGTCAGTGCAAGGCGTGTGCGGATGCCTCTGTTTGCGCATGCCAGGGTCCGTCGGAGCTCGTGGACGCGGACGGCGACAAGACCTGGGCGTACACGTCTGAGGTAACACCCGGTCGGTCCTTCCATATCGCCACATTATTCACATTTTTGCAGGGACTGTTCGCATTCAACGTCCCCCCAGGAGTCGAAGTGATCGAATGCAACAAGGTAGGGTCTCAGGACGACCCATTTCAACGGCATTGACTGTCTGTAGTTCTGCGCCTGCGGCAAACGCCAACGGTGTCCCAACCGCGTCGCGCAGAAACCCCGCGATACCCCCATCGACGTATTCAAGACGGAAGACCGCGGATGGGGCGCGCGGGCTACGGTCGACGTACCCCGAGGCAAAGTCCTTGGCATTTACACCGGGTACGCCTCTCCATTCGAAACCCATGGCGTTCGCTCAGGCTGATGCGCAATGCAGTCGTGTTATGTCAGGAAACTAGTTTACCTCCTTACCACACTAACTCATTGTTCCATTTAGTCCACGCGAGGACTTGGAACACCTGTCTCACGAACATAGGGGCTACACATTTAACTTGGATGCTCGCGAGAATCGCGGTGACGACGATTCCGCCGAGAAGTACACCGTCGATGCTTATTCCTACGGTAAGGCTGACAGTTCTCATGCCATCAGCAGTACGATCTTGCTCATAGATGTGCCTGGCAGGCAATTGGACAAGGTTTATCAAGTAGGTGTTTCACTGTTCGTTATGACTTACTGTTAAATTAATCCCCTCCAGTCACTCTTGCGAACCGAACGTGCAAGTATACCCCGTAGTATACGACACGATACCCGAAGTAAGATGCATCCCTCCGAAGTTCTGCATTCGTTGACCAAGGCACAGCAAAATCTACCGTACCTAGCTTTCGTGGCCACCGTCGACATTCCAGCATACAGCGAGCTCCTTCTGGACTACGATCCTGCCTACGTGCCACAAGCTACGAAGGGCAAAAAGAAACAGGGCCCACCAAGCAAAACAGCCATTCGTTGCGCCTGCGGGTCATCCAACTGCAGGGGCTGGCTGCAATATTGACGTGTTCACGCGACACCTGTCCCTCCTCCAACCGTCTATCATGGTATTATTATAGTCGTGGCAGATCCTAAAACTACATAGGTAAGGTAATAGCAGATAATGCTTACGCGAGCACCCAAGAAATAGGCATAATCTTGCTATACAGATCATCATCCGTCAAGGAGAACAATATGAGGCCGCTATCCCAGATGCAGCTTCTTCAACAGTGCACCCCACCCCTGCGCGCCCTCATGGTGGCCGAAATGCACATGCGCACGACCATGGCCGTGAACCTCCTGAGCCTGTTCGCGATCCATATCCCGTCTCCGCGGACCAGCCATGTCGAAGCTCCCAGGCATCGCCATCTCCTCCTCTTCCTCTTGGGTGAGCGTGTCGTCTGCCTGCTCATGAGAATGACTCTTTCCCTGAGAATCAGCCTTCTCCTGCATCGTCGCCTCCATCGCCTCCTGGTGAAGGTCATGCTGATCCACGGGGTCCATCTCATGCAACGGCGTATGCCCCTCGTCCTCTCTCTTAAGTGCATGCGACTCGCCCGGGTGTTTCGCCTGGTCCTCCTGTTCATGCTCGCTCGCCGCAACGACGTTGATGTGATCGTTCTCCCCAGGCGGGCCCCCGCCCAGCTTCCTCTCTTCCCCATGTTCGTGCTTGTGTTCATGTTCATGCTCGTCCTCATCATCGCTCTCCAGCCCGCTAGTGCCGGTTTTCCAGCCCCCGCTGCTCGCCGACGTCGCGCTGGCGTTGCTGGCCTGGCTCGCAGCCCTGCTGAGCCGCCCGACCGCGAGTGCGCCCTGGATAGCCTGCCGCCATTTTCCCCGCGCGTCGAAGTTGTCCCGCAGACCGGAGAGGTCGTGCTGGCCCGGTCGGCGGTTCGTGAGCCACTGCGATCCCGATGTCAGCTCGAGGACGGTGGTTGTTATCCCATCCTTGTTCAACGTACCTCGTGTTCTAGCGCCTCGGCGGCCGATGGCCTCTCCGCAGGGTTCGAATTGAGGAGGTATCTGATGAAATCTTTCGCTATTGACAATCATCGTCAGCGTCTGAACTCATCTTGACGGCACTGCAGCATTGCCAGGCTCACCCTCTTCAGAAACGTTCTTCCAGTACCGCTCGTGGAACTCCACCCGCGCAGCCGTCGTCTCGCGTATAAGCTCCTTCGCGTCGTCCGACCGGAACGGCGAGTAACCGCACAGTAGCACATACGTGATAATCCTAAGCCCAATCAATGAGTTCACGTGCAATAATCTACGCGCGCGAAGACATCAACGCACCCCGTCGACCAGATATCGACCTTCTTCCCGTGCCCGGTCTTGTTTAGCACCTCGGGCGCGACGTACCCGAAGCTCCCCGCTAGCGAGGTGAGCTGCTCCGTGGCGGAGTGCAGGTGTTTCGCTCTGCGTTATGCGTGATGTGAATTTGAGTTCTGACTCGATGACAGCGGCAACGTGCGATGCTACTTACATCCCGAAATCGGCGATGACGATGTCCGAGTCTGGGTCTTTCGTACGGTAGAGGATGTTCTCCGGCCTATCGGTCAACCGGTCAACCGGTCAGTCAAGTGCGGGTCGGGGCAAGGAAGATCGACAAACGTACTTCAAGTCCCGATGGACGATGTCGTGTTCGTGGAGGTACTTCACGCCCGAGAGTATCGATCTGTATATGGACAGTCAGCCGGCACCCTCACAGGCACGTATACGACAATATGAACGGACCTGACCACGTTCACCGCATCGCTCTCCGTGAATTTGCCCTAGAACGTACAACATAGAGGACACTTTCATTAGTCGCGGATACACACATACCGACCTGCGGCATTCCTGCACGGCAGCGACACCACAATGACGCTTATATTGTGTTCTCGCCGCCCTGCATTGCTACACCAAGCAGTAAATACTCACCCGCTTGCTTATCCGCTCGAAAAGCTCGCCTCCCATGGCGAGCTCGAACACGAGGTAGTACTTCGTCCGCGACTCGAACCATTCGTAGAACTTGACCTATTGAACGCACCGCAATCTCAGTCCGACTGCCCAGCAATAGTAACTGGCATGAGAAGGTAGGGCACACCGCTCACAATGTTCGGATGGTCCAGCCCGCGAAGCACCTCCATCTCGCCCCACACGCTCGCCTCGTTCCCCTTCACCTTCTTCTTCGGGATGACCTTCAGCGCGACCTCCTTCGTCATGTGGCTCTCCTCGACGCCGTTCTGCCCGCTGCCCTTCTTCTTGTGTGAGTGTCCACTGCTGGATTTCGACAAGACAGATGTGGCAGCGGTCGAGACTGAGGTCGAGGAGGTGGTGGCTGAAGAGGGAGCGGTCGAGCGGGAGGAGGAGGTAGTGGAGGATTTGGCGTCGGTGAAGTATTCCGAGGGCGGGTTGCCGGAGGAGGGGGAGGCGGCTGCACCGCGGAGGGCGACGGGAGTTTGGCCGGCGGGGACGTGCCATGTTGCCCGCTAAATGAGCAGTCCAATATCAGTATCGGTCTCCTTGACTCTGGCAATTTCAGAGGCATGGTATCCATGCCAAATCCCCCGCGACGGACGCGTCACTGTACCTCACTCCTGGCCCACCCCGGGATTCTGACACGGCCGTGTATAGCATTAGCCGTTCAAGCCTCCGGCTCGTGCCCGGGCCTCTCTTGAGCATAATACTGCAACCCCTACCCATCCCTGACAGTGTTCCATCGCCGGGTATAGAGACTCTCGATCCATATAGTTGCCCGCAGAAAGTGATGTATGATACGTACCAAGACCTTTCCAAACGTCCCCTCTCCCATGACCTCCTTTAACTCATAGTTCTTCTTCTTCGCGAAGCTCGGCGGCTGCGGTAGCAGAGTGTCCTTCAAACTCGGCAAGTGCAGCTTACTCGTGCTGTGCGACATGGCTGGAATTCAGACTGCGCAGCAAATTGGTCCAAGTGCGTCGGGCAGAGTCTCCCGCGTTACGTGGCGGTTAGTCTAGATCGTCGTCGTCGTCGTCGTCGTCGTCGTCCGCACTGCTGTAGCCTACGCCGTCGTCGATGGTGGACAGAGCAGAGGACGGTACTGGCGGGGGACAGACATCATCGTGTGCGAACCTGAAGGGGAAAGAGTGCACCGGGTCCTGTGAACGTCATAGGATCGTGTGCCTCGGAGTTCAGGGTCCCGCCTCCCGATAAACTAGGCTGTGGCTGTGCTTGCAGTATGCGGTGTGGCTTCGATGTATTGAATGCTTGGGACGAGTCTTGATCGGACGGCTGTAGTCAAGTCGTAGTTATGTCGAGACTTGCTAGTGGAAAAAACATATCCTCTTTACAGTGGCTTTCTTCTCCTTTTTCCTCTGGTCCTTTGCCTTGAACGGGTTCGTCGCCGCTGAACTAACCGCTTTTGCATAAATTACAGAAATAGTGGGATGATTCATTCTTCAACAGTAACTACAGCAGACTATCTCGCTCCATCATCATCTACTAAGAACCCGATTTGGATACGGTAGCGGGAGCTATTGCGCTACTTTCGAATGCAAGGCAGGCGATTCTGTCCTCTGGGTGATTTCGGATCTGACACATTGCACCAGCAGTCAAGGCTACGGTATATTCTGTAGCCGGGAAAAAGCGCTATTAATACAGGCCCATCGCTCGCCGTATGATGTACAGCATATTTCTTCTTCTTCTGGGATGCCAGGTATCCACCATATAGGTACGTGCTGCATAACTCTGATTTCTACTGGGGCTCGTCGCTGAAGTACTTGAAGCACTCCTCAAATTCCTACCAAGCATCCCGCCTGATGTCAAATTCCGCGCATGCGAGCTCGCCGTCGAGCTCCTCCAGCGAATTCCGCAGGTCAATAACATGAAAGTCGGGCCCCCAGCAGACCGCGCCTCCAGCCGCGGGTACGACTTCGGTGAGTAAGACCAAAACGCGCGACAGCCCTCGTTTCGTTCAGCGCGGACTGTAACTAATCCTCATCGGCGGATCCGACTCGCACCGGCAGCGCTTACGATGGACTTTGACAGCCGCGAAGCATTCAGGTACGGTGACTTTGTGTCAAAATGCGTGGATCACCTAACGCTTATGAAGAGCTTATAATGCGCACCCGATGCATGCCGAGTAAGCTTAGACCGGCGAAATAGTTTGACAGACAGTCACTAATGTTGACGATTCTGGGCAGGTTAGCAAGATTACTGGCCCCCATAACGGAAGGCAAGTACACTATATATTATGTGCCTGCCTCTAAATCATGACGGATTATGGCCATGTAAAAGGACTCATCTCATACCAGATCACTCTGCCGTCCTCAAAGCTGTAGCACAGCGTCGGTTTGTCCGGATCGACGGAGCTTACGATCGACCGACGACATGAACAACTCGCTACGGCATCGATCGAAGCTCGGATGGGTCTGTCGGGTCGAGAGGCAGGTGGGAGCACCAGGTTGTCATGCTCTCGATGCAGGAGACTCTTCCCTGAATAGAAGGCATCTAAGCAGGAGCTTAATGGTCAGCGGTACTCAGATACTCCGTTCAGTAATAGGGAAGGAGGGATACAATGTCTATAATAGCAACCGCTGTGGGTTCTTCTCCCAACTGGCGGGCCCGAGAAATCGTATGGGACAAATCGCGTTTATTCCACCTCAGCCAACAGCACACTGAAATACTCCAGTGCGCGGAGTGCAAAGCTGAGTACCATAGTTAATAACTCATACCATCGTCTCACAAGTTGAGAACTCCGAAGCCTCTTACTTTCCGTGGCCATGGGAATTTAGGGGCGGCAGTGCGAGGGTATTCCTTGAGCACCTTCAGTGCCGTCAATCAGTATTCCACCATACCATTAGCAATCAGTAGCGGCTTCGAACACACCTAGCCACACTGGCACCCTTATAAGTTGAATGGCCAGCAAAGTGAGGTACATCCAAACAAGTATGCCTCTGCTGAACTTGAACATACGTGTCTTTCATCCAAGCAGTGATGTCAACCGTCGGTGCTGAGCGTACGTGCGGCGCTTGCAATGCTCCGCATAACGGGATATGTCTACTAGTAAAGACCGTTAGAGGGAGAGCCACGGCAAAGGGCAACCCACACCAATATTTTGGGTGGATAGCCTCTGCCATGCCCGGGAAGACAGAGCAGCTACCCACTAGAATCGCCTCCCTCCCAGTTCAAATCTGCACTTGGTATAGAGGAGACATTGGGATGTCAACGTCGTCACCTTGCTGGTCGACGTCAACGTAAGACCTGTTTCGGGTGTCGTGTACTGAAATCATGTAAGTATCTGCGCCAGAATAACTTCTTCCCTGGTCAATGTGGTTATACATATTGTAAGGCAAGTTTGCTATCCGCATCTTGTATTGCGACATCCACTCTTGTGGGTCATCGGGTTACCCAGAGCTTGTCATGTAGTGCTTTCGCCGCTGCCGATAGTGGAGGTTCGTACCCAGCGAAGGTGTGGCATCCTTTTGGACGCCCCCTTGGAGGAGAGCTCGATAGAACACTCTTGCTTTTTGCCTTGCCGATTCAACTACATTCTACCTAAGGTGCTCTAAGAGTGTCAGGTCTATGGTAACATCAACACACCTCTATTTTAACAGAGCAGATCACTTGAAGTCCCATACGCTCCCCTCAGTTGGGTGTAGTCTCTGCATCATGATATTAGCTCGTTACATGGCTAGTGTCCAATGGCATTACACTCACATCGTCGTCTACATGGAAGCCAGCCAGCACGCCAAGTATAGTCTTGCCAGTCCACTTCTCTAACTTACCCACCATATCCGGCGTGATGAAACCCTGCGCCTGAGTCGAGGTCCGCGAAGCAAAGATTATCTGCGCCGCCGCCGCGCGGATCCGGGGAGTGGGCACTGGAGGCGGCGGAGGGGGGTGAGGCGGCTCGTGTTTCGTGTTCGGCGGGGAGGAGGAAATGGGTTGCGTGGAGGAGTGGGAGGCCGAGGATAATTGTAGGTGGGGAGGGAACGTAGTGATAGGAGGTTCTGGGGAGCTCCGAGGATCGGGTTTGGCTGCAGTCTGTATTGGGCGGTAGGATGCTGCTAAGTGGTAGAGATGATGGGTCTCCATCTATATCGTCGTCCACGGGAGAATTAGTAGTCGGTGATTCGGAAGCGACAAACGACAGACCTCGAGAGTCGCAAGACCGGGTATAGAGGATAGGAGGGTTGGGATCAAATCTTGGTTGTGGTCCGGAAACGAGGTTTGTCTTCCTTGCGAAGAGTAGAAGCTGGAGGCGCATTGGCATCGCATATCCGAGGACGGCTAAGACGGGGACTCGAGCAACCCACCTATCTGCTGAGGCATTCACGACGTCGGATAGAACTCTGGATAGTGCATCCGGTTGCTGGAAGCCAGCCGCGATCTATATCAACTGTGAGCGATTTTACCGTTGTGCCGGCTGCTAAAGGCGTACCGCTACTGCTAATTCCTGGTCTGCTTCGACCTACATGGAGTTAGTGGCTGGCCCTGGGTAAGCGGTCAGGCTCACTGGTTTGCTAATTCTATACGGAGGCTCGGGGGAGTTGCCGATCCCAAAGTCGTAATCGTAGTTCCTACTGACAGCTACACAAGCTTTTGGGACAACAATGGTGCCAACAGGATGATCCAGCAGACACCCGCAGGATCCCAGCCTTGTATGTTTTTGTATCATTTGCGATTACAATATATCAGTTTCGATGGGTCTTCAGACTGATGCTGGGAGAAACCCACCTAACGACAATCATATCGCCACTCAGACATTCGCGCACCTCACGGACAAAGAAATCCATGTTAGGGTGGCCCATTCCGATGCTGCAGATCGAGACCGGGACACCCTTGTATCGACCTGTAATGGTCAGGAAACCCCTCTCGGAGGTGATCCGGAAGGGTTTGGGTTCAGCATCGAGGAACGATGCTATAGACCCCGCCCGAGACGGGGAGCCTACAGTGATCTAATGCCGCAGTCTGTTAGTCGCACCCGGTCGCAACAACTGGGCTGCCTACGATACGATTGGCCACTTCACCGGCGCGCAGGCCGAGGTGGTAAACTCGCTGGTCCAAGGTTCGGGGGAAATCTGAGTCGATGGAGGTCAGGCAGGCTCCCACTTATGATACCAACACTCACTGGCATCTACGATCAGGTCTTTCATCCTGGTCGCTATCACCGCCGCCCTTCGTTCTCGGGCTTCCGAGCAACCTACACTGGGTAAACGGGCTTCGCCGCAGTGGCGGAGGGCGCTTCCGAGTTTAGCCGACGGCAAGGCCAGCCTTCGTGTCGCAACGTTAACCTTGACTTGGATTCGCCGTCTAACTGCCTTTGCAAACCATCAACTCTCTGAATTTGCACGACGTTAAGTGTAAAGGCGCTGTCTGCTTCTGGCGTAGCGCTTCTGGAGACTGTTACTGTTCAATAAATCGCTACTGTCCACTCCTGACCGGTGACCTTCCACCTACGGCCATCTGTGGAACTTTTCGGGCATCCGGAAGTTAGCTGTACAAAGAATAGGCGAGACAGCTAAGGACTCCCGACTCTTTCGCAGCACCAGTAGCCTCACCGCCAGCTACAGGTCTTCTACGCAAGTTCCGATATCAAGGTTGGAACGTTGGCAGCGCAGAGCCAACATGATACGCGTCACACTAGTGGTATCTAGCGTTCAAGTCGCTACCAACAAGGCATTGTACCCCTTGACACGGGAATATCCCGAGTCGCGCGGCATGACATGATCCCGCCATTCGTGCGAGGTCTTTCTCGAGCTACGGGTTTAGGCATGATCGACCGGACTTCTCATACAGCTGGGGAGTGGGGGTCCATGTCCAGAGCACCCGGAGGTTCTCTCGATCTTGGGAACGTACAATTCGGATATCAAATCCAAGAGTGATGGTGAGTACCTTTCGTGAAATAGGACTCATTAAAGTTCGAAGACAGTAGGCAATACTCCGTGCGTGCTTTCTTGTACTCGGCCCTGGATCCGTACAGTTCAGCGTGTCCTTACGCAAGTGATGTCTTTGGCGTGACCTGTGGATAGGCCAGAGTGATATGCTCCTCAGGGGTTTCCGGTAAGTCAAAGAAGGTCTAGGTCTAGAATGGTCTATTAACAGCACTGCTGACTTCCCATCCGCCGGCTGCTCAGCATTACTTTGATTACCCGTTTAGCAGCGGAAATCCTTATCCTACGTCCACCCGATCTCTTATTTATTAGATCTTCGTGGTGCGTCAATGTACACTCAAATTAAGCATCTGCATAGCATCCTCCAATTGGAAAGGAACTACTCGTTCATTTCTTGGCCGCGGTGCGTAATGTTGGATATCCATTCTTGCTCTCTTTCCATCCCCGGGAAGAAAATCCCTCGCCCTCCAAAGAAGCCCGAGTATCCAGCGATCATTTACGTCCATCGAGGCCTGCTTCTCTGGTGACATACACATGCACCCTTGAAGAATCTAGGCACATCATCCCCGCTCTCCGGTATTCGTCCCGTTCGCCCTTGCCTTTCACGCGGATGCTCCTCTAATCTCATGGAAGAACGGCCATCCCGATCTGCCTTTGGCTTCATGTCCCTTACTCCGGACTCTGTTTCTGCAAACCTGGCAGCCTCTCGCCGGTGAATTCCCGTGTGGGATTGAATTCTGCGCATGTGATGTGGATTGCCGGAACGCGCGTGCTCAGAGCACCTGCCGTATTTTTGGCCATTTGGAGCCGTGCAGGGCATGTGGCGCCATATGGCCGGTATGTTCTTCATTTCTCGGTTCTTGGCGTATGTCTGTCTCGCGATTACTGTCTGCTCATAGCTCAGTTCCCAAGTCATCCGCTGCCTCAGTACCGACCTTGCTTTTATTGCGTCCTGCCTTAATCTGACTCATGGCTGGGTCAGACATACTTACGTCCACTGAGCCCGTGACCTGGCGCGCGAGAGCCCTCTCTCCGGTCAAAATGAAAGAAATGAAAGAATCGGACGTGTGGATCCGTGCCACAGCGCCATCCCCGACGGGTCTTGTTGTGTTTCTCGAGTTCCACCCGTACGAAGGCAAACCGACACTGCACGAGCCGCGCAGCCCTGCGAGCTCGAGATCATAGGAATGTTCTCCGCGCACGACGCCTCGCCTCGATATCGCTGTCTCGGAGCTACGCTGGTGCCGCTGCGCATTCCCAAACGGATCTGCGCACATTCCACGTACGTCTTTCTCCCTTTCACTTCCATTCCTTCACCTTCACATGCAGCCCCTGCGTCTTGCACGCAGCCGCCCGCGCTCACTGTGTCCAGCCTGCGCGCGGCGATTGGGGGATGTCTCCGCACGCACCCTCGAATCCCGATCCTGTGGCGCTCCGACGGCGACCTCTCTATCTTCCCATCTCGATGGACTTTGCACCCGGATTTGTCCCATAGTGCCCAGACGCTGCGGACTTCGAAGCGGACGCGGAGGACACCGGCCTCTCTAAGCCCACGTATCATCAATGTATCTGATGCGTCGTCTGCCCAAACGGGTGAAATCATTCGAAGCACCCAGTCCAACGCGATGTTTTCTCCAAATCTTCACGTTCCATATGTTGCCATTGGACGAGAAGGCGGTCGTCTTGCGTCTCGTCTTCACAGGAATCAAGCGGTAGTCTGGTAACGCTGTGATATAGGGGAAACCATCACTTTAAAATGAGGGTGTCCACTGGGGTGCTAATGACTTATGTAAACCGGTGCTGTCACAGCTTGTCGTACCGACGCAGTGGAATCGGACTAGCAGGAAGGCTAATCGCACTGGAAGCGCCCAGGGACGATTGGCCACTCGTTTTGCTCCTGTAATTCCATTTCGTTGGATCCACTACGATACTGCAGCGTATCTCGCACGACAGGTCCTCTTCATTATCGTGCATGTCGATGATAGGCGTGATTCTGCTGGTTATCTCGCAGTCGATTGGCTACGTTCCAAGCAGAGTCCTCAGATCTCGCTGGGCCTGCCAATCTCGAGCAGGAGGTATCGCGGTATATACGTAACCGAACAGACCCTTACCTATCAAACCTTCTCCTGGGCCCCGTCGGTGACTGGCACGCAGTCCTGAAGGAGAAGCGGGAAGCAGGCTCGGCCCAATCTTACGGTTGACCAGGAGTGTCAGGTCTATTTTGCATTTGCACTTCGCACTTGCGTTTGGCTGAGGGCACGCCGTGAGTTCGAATCCCGCTTAGAGCAACGGGCAAGGGGCCGTGGGAACGTCCCGGATACTGCCCTACCCCTGTTGTCCCTGTGCTCGACGTTGCCCGACGCGTTGTCGACGCTGTTGTCGGCGATGTCGACAAATGTTAAGTGATGGTTATTCCTAAAAATACACGGAAAAAATTGGTTCCTTCTGAGCTTACTGTACCAACCTATTTAATATCAATTATTCTGTTCATTTGAGGAGCTATGCGAGAAGTCGTTGCACATTCAACGTCGCAAGTCAAGAGGTGTGTTCAATATTAAGACAAACTCTACAATTGAGATAGGGAGCATTGATGTGCGCGCCAATGTCAATGAAACTAATCTATATCCGACGCCGTTGCGCATTCCCCCTATACTACTAGTAACGCGTCGTGGCGAATTGCAAGGGAGCAAAAGGGCTGCTCAATTCTTAACTACCTCCCGTCGTTCGTTCGTTCGTTCAATCCGTCGTGCTAAAAATAATGAGAAAGAAGAGATGGCCGAGCCACGCCGGTGGCAAGCTGGGAGAGACAAATCACATGGACGTGGTCTCGAATCATCAGCCATCGCGCGATTGAACGAACGACGGCTTGAACGACGGCTTGAACGACGGGAGCCAGTTGAGAATTGAGCAGCCCTAAACACACACATGTTCGACAGTCCCGACCTGCTACCGCATTAGGTAGTCGGCAAGTGTGGGAAGGAAATTGTGGCGTCTG